CTTCCGCTCTGGGTGGCCTAGGGTTTCATCGATAGCTCGGCTTCCTTCTAGGCAGCCCCGCTCAATTGCTCGGCAGTCTCGGATTGCGCACGCGCAGGCCGGGCGATGGCGCTCATTGGTCAGGGATGAAGGCGCGCGGGCTTCGCGTGGGCCCGCTAGTCGCACGCTGAGGAGATACCGAGTCTCTCTGAGGGGATCCCGGGCCTCACCGGGGTCCCTGACCTCACGGACCTTCCGGGTCGCTTAGCTGTCTCAGGGCCTGCTGAGTCTGCGTTTCCGCAGGCCCGGAGTCGGCGACAGTTGCTCTTTTCGTTCGGTCGCCGGTTCGATGGGAGAGCCTCCTGGGAAGCTCCTCAGCTGTGAGGAGAAGAAAAAGGTGCCAGGGGGTACGGGACGGGCCGACACCGGACTCTGACCGGCTCGCTCAGGGCCGGGCTGCATTTCCTCAGCCGTCCGAGAGCAACAGCGTCCTCTGACCCGACCTCACCGGGCTGAGGGGACACAGCAGGAGGAAATGTAGATGAGTGCTGTATATGTATAATGTATAAACACAGTGTATAAATACAAAATGGGAAATTTTATAGTCTGCCTCCCTCCCACATTGTGGACTTCTCCCACTCCATCGCACCCCCTTTCATTTCTCTCTTAGTCTGGCGGTTCCAGACCTTTGGGGGATGGGGGGTGTTGAGCGGTGTAGCCTTAACCACCAAACAGTAATATGTACGAGGTTTTTGTATTTGGAGTGGAGAGTGTTCGTAAATGGTGTGGTTTTCCATGTTTTAACGCCCATGTTAAAAGATATTTACCTGCTTGGTTTTTGTTTTTAAGTTGTAGGTAATACTCTGTAGTTTGGAGCATCTTCATTTCATCAGATATTCCTCTACTGATAAACTTTTAGGTTCTTTACAGCTTGTGCTGATGTTAACATGAATTTTTTTTTTTTTTTTGGAGAGGTTTTTGCTATAGGGCGCGTGCGCTCGCCAGGAAGACAGAGAGAGACAGAGAGACAGAAAGCGAGAAATCACCCCCCAGGGGGGATGGCCACACTGCAATCCCTTCTCCTCCATTCTCCTCTCAGGATCTTGGGCACGCACGCACACGCGCCCGGCGTGAGTTTAAGCCACCGGTCCGGGACTCCAACCACGGTTGACTGCGTTGGAGTCCAGTGACATAGCCATTACGCTAACTGCTGGTCCCAACATGAATGTATCTTGTGCTTGTGCTAAATTCATTCACAATAACTCAACAGTCTTCTTTTCTTGATTTACCTTCTAGTGGGTGAGAAGAAACATTTACAAGTAATTAAGATAATTCCCAGATATTGATAAGGTCGATGGGGATATTGATAAGGTTGATGAGGTGCTGGCTAGCATAAAGAGTACAGAATCTAGACTCTAGTGTGTAGGTTTGAATCTTGCCAGTAATAATTTCATGATCTTGGATAAACTGCTTAATCTACATTTCAGTTTGCCTATCTGTAAAGTGGGGATAATAATAATAGAATATACTTAGTGTTAAATGAGCCAATAGTCATTTATGGGCCAGCAGGTGGTGTGGTGGCTGAGTGAGACTGTGGACCTCGAAAATCACAACAAATAAGTAGATAAGTAAGTGCTTTCTTTAATTTTTTTTTAAAGGAGGTCATTTGTAAAGTCTAGCACCCACTGAGGCACATTATAAAAGTATCAGGTATTTTTATAATTGTGTAATTGAGGATGAGTAGGGACAGAGGTGGCCCCTTTAATACCAGAAGTGCTATGGTAAACAGTGCTTTGGAAAGTGAGAAAAAGTAAGCGATTAATTAAGAAAAAGTTGACACACTTGGTACTTTTTTAGTAGTGTTTTGCAGATAATGGTGGTTTCATTTTTTTTTGCTTTTTGTTTGTTAAGGTAGATGCTAAGGACATAATCTTGGTGATGTTTCATTGGTTAAAAGATTAGTGTCTCTTAAAGGTTCTTAGAAAACAGGAAAAAAAAAAAAAAAAACAGGGATGTCTTTCTGCTGAGAGAATTCTTTGAACCACAGAAGCCAAAGAGACATAGGCAACCTAAATTTTCAGGGAAAAGTAATTTGATTTGGCCCAATTCATTCATTTATTTATTTAACAAATCTTTGCTGAATGTCTCTAGTATCCCTGCTGGGATTCAGCAGTGAAAGCTCCAACTTCACAGACCTGTGTGTTCCTCAAATATACTTAGTGTATTCCACTGTGGAGGGTTCCTTCTGCCTGGGATCTTTCCCTCTCATCTTCTCAAAGCTAACTCCTTTCTCCTTCAGGTCTAGCCTCAGACAGTAGTCCTCCAAAAATGCCTTCCTGACCACTGTAATTAAAAGTAGTCCATTTAGGGGGACCAGCAGTTAGCGTAATGGCTATGTCGTGTAGTTGACTGCGGTTCGTGTCCCGGACCTGGTGGCTTAAAACTCATGCCAGGCGCGTGTGTGTGCGTGCCCAAGATCCCAAGAGGAGAATGGAGGAGAAGGGATTGCAGCGTGGCCATCCCCCCTGGGGGGTGATTACTCGCTTTCTGTCTCTCTGTCTCTGTCTGGTGAGTGCACGTGCCCTAAAAAAAAGCAAAAACCTCTCCAAAATAAATAAATAAATAAATAAATAAATAAATAAAATAAAAGTAGTCCATTTGGGAGGCTAGTCATTCTTTCACATCACCTTGTTTAGGTATTTATCACCATGTGACAACACCTTATCTCTGTTTTCTTGTTGATGTCTATATCCCTCATTATATGTACATTGCCTTAACTACCCTGTCTCTCTAGAATCTGGAATAATAACTGACACATAGTAAAGATCAGTTATTGTTCTTGGTGCTAGTGATTCCTGGACCATTAACTGACAAGTAAGAAATGCATTTGTTCAAGGAATGACTGATGGCAGCTCCTGCTAGCTTCAAGAATCTCACTGTGATGGAGAGAAACAGAAGTAAATAGATGAGGTGGTGTGGTAAATACTGTAATGAGGGAACACTGAGGACGGTTGGGAATATCTTACCTAGATTCAAGGAAGGACCCAGGGAAGTGATCATCTAAGCAGAGGCTTGAGAAATCAGTAGGAATTAGCAAAGGGACGAAATGCTCCAGATAACTGGAAAGTGTGTAGTTCATGCCAGGGTCCTGAGGTGGTGCAGAGCTTGGTCCTTTGTGAGACTGAAAGATTTTATGGGCCAATGCTATTCCTTCTACTGCATCTTGCTGAGGGGTCCCACCTAGCACAGCATGTCTCAGGGATACTGTATCCCTTCCCTCTGACTCACCCTTCTTTATGCTCAGTATTGTTGGTATTTTTCTTCCAGTTAAAAAAAAAATTAGCATTCTTGAAAAGAGAATACAACAAGACACTGGCACGCCTCCAGGTAAGTCATCTAAGTGATCTCAGGTTAAAGTGTTGTACAAATTATAAAAACAGTCTTTGATATAAACCTTTAAAGGAAATTTATTTCTTGTGATGCTTCTGTTTTCTAGCGTGCCCAAAGGGCTGAGAACCTTAAGCATTCTTTTAAGACAATAGAAGGACCTGACTGCTTGCCCCAGCAGGACGTTTCACCACAGCTAAACCACTCAGGTAAACCTAGCCCCTGACTAGCTTGCTTTATTATTTCCCAGGTGTATCTGGTTGTCATTCTTTTCCCAATAGTCAGATGATAGGAACTAGCAATATATTCTTTAATTATCATAATATTCATTTTCTATAAAATTCATTCAATGAACTATACTTTCATTTGGATCATTTATTTAGTTGCTCTTTTTAACATTCATAAATTAAATTTATTGTTTAAATGTTGGAAAGATTTTTTTTTTTTTTTAATTTAAGTATCTAGAACTTAAAACACAGAGGAAAAAGTCTGAATGGAAATATTCTATAAAATGATGTCAGGGCCAGCAGATGGTATGGTGGTTAAAGGTGCTGAACTTCCACATGACTGATCATGGTTCAAGTCCTGGACCTAGTGGCTTTTTTTTTCACTTCTCTTGATCTCTCTCTGGTCAAATTAAAAAATAATAAATAATAAAGTTAAATAAAATAATTATTTGAAAAACAAACAAAAACTAACTTTATTTCTGGAGTTAAAATTCCAGTAATGGAGGATGGACAGTGGCATAGCAGTAAAATGCAATGCTCTTAGGTTGATCCACATGGGAAAGTTCTAGGTCTCCCATCTGGAGGCTACCCTGAGTATGTTGGCTACATATTTGCCCATAATCCTTGGTTGACTGGGGCTAGGTTTGGATGATGGCATTGAGACCCTATTGGGGGGTTCTGTCTCTCTCTGTCAGAGTCTCGTTCATGGAAGAAATAAGTGTTTTAGAAAGTTTCAATTGGGAGGGGGTCATTGAAATGGAAAAGTGGTATTTTAAAGTACTTGAGCAAAAAATCAAAACAAAACAAAACAAAAACACAAAACCCATGAAATAGAAAATTTAAGAGAAAAGGCCCAGCCTGGTGGTACATTCCACATAATATATTGGACTGCAGTGCTAGAATCCACTGCTGACTGCAGATTCAGATATCCAGGTCAGTCTGAAAACATTCTGGGTGGGTGTCCAAGACTCTGAGAAGCTAGAGGGCCAAGGAAGGGGGACTGTGATGTGGTGAGACTCTGTCAAGGGTGCGTTTTCTTTCTCTGTCCCCCACACACATGCACTATAATTTTAAAAAACGGTTGGGACAAAGAATAACCTTTTCTTTAAAAAACCACTTTGAGTACGATTTTTGTTATGTTTACTTAAAATTTACTTAAAACAGTTTGCTAGATTTTAAAAACTTGAACTTTGATCTGCCTGAATTTTCATTCATTGATTCTGGGCCACTCAGGTGGTATGGTGGTTAAGGCAGCTGGATCCTACATGACCAATTGTACAATTGCAGTCCTGGACCCTGCAGTTTGAAAAGCATGGTGGGCCTGTGTATGTGCCCAAAATCCCAAGAAGAAAATGAAAGAGAGGAGATTGCATATAGTCATCCCTCCCTGGTGGGGGAGGGGGGGCAGTGTTTTCTCACTTTCCCTCTCTGTCTGTCTCTCTGGTGAGTGCATGTGCCCTATAGTGAAATTAAAAAAAGAAAAAATGTCATTTTTTTTCTTAAATAAATATTAACTAGTATATATATAAAAGGAAATATGAAGATTTTTGTTTCATTTAAAAATAAAAATATTAGCTACATCCTTTTTTCCCCCCTCAGAATCTAAAAATAAAGAATCACCTTGTGACAAATTACAGATCAATTCTCATCTTGACAACAAAACTGGAGAAAAGACATCTATCACCATTGATGTTGAGCCTGAGTCCTTCAACCCTATAGAGGGCCCAGAAAAAGGATCGTGTATTCAAGGAATAGTTGATCTACAAGAACATTTTCCCTGCAGAGTCAGTGGTTCTGATGATGAAAAAAGGCAGAGTAAGCTGCCAGGGAGAACAAAGAAGCAGCAGAAGAGAATATTATTTTCACAGGAGAGAGAATGTTTCATTAATACTGATTCACTTGTACTCTCTGGAAAAAGACTAAAGGAACAAGAAGAAATTAATAGCAAAAATCATAGGTCACTAGTAACTGAAATAACAACTCATTCCTCAAGTCTTAAGTCTAAAATTACAGATTCTTCAGCACCAGTTACAGAAACTAGTGGAGGAAATTTATTAATTCCACCTACTGCCAAACCAGAAAGAGATGCTGATACACTTTTAAGAGGATATAATTTTCCCAAAGAGACTACAGTTCCTATGCATATTCCATCAGATGGCAGTAGTAGCCAGCACCTTGAACATATGCCTCCCACAAGTAACTGTGAACTTAATACTCAAGGCTTAAAATGTGTTAGCCCTGCTTCATCTATACACTTGGAGGCACAAAATAAAAAAATGACTGTCTTTATGGATAACCCAGTGGCAAATAAAGCTCTAAGTACAAGCAGCCAGCTGCCTAGTTCTAACTTAGAGGCAGATAATTCATGTCCTAGAGATGACTTTACTTATAATAACTTACCAGCAAATGAAAACCAAAAATTAAAAGAACAAAATCACACAGAAAAATCTTTAAAATCTCCGAGTATCACTCAGGATGGTAGAAATAAAATTCTTCAGGAAAATGAGGTTCTAAGTCAATCTAAGAGTCTTAGCCTAGATGCAATCGATTCTGTTAATACAGAAAACCAAACACATTCTTGTACAATGCTTGAAGGCCTTCTATTTCCAGCAGAATATTATGTTAGAACAACACGACACATGTCAAATTGCCAGAGGAAAGTAGCTGTGGATGCTGTAATTCAGAGTCATTTAGGTGCTAGGAAAAAAGGGTATAAAAATAAAAATAAAACAACTAAAGATTTAAACCTTTCCAGTGAAGAAATGGACCAAAGTGAAATGTCTGACACATGCACAGGACAACATAGTTTAAGAAGTCCTTCCCAAAAACTTCTCTCATTAGCTGAAGTCAACCCTCCTATTGGATCCACTGAAGATAATGACTTTTCCAGGAAGGCAGTTAGCCAGACAACTGTTAGATATACAGGAAAAAGAAAATCAACCTGCACTCCAGAATTAGATCATTGTGAACCGCTTTTGCCCACTTCCAGTGCATTAGATATTAACAGCTCCAAGAAAGAAACTACCTTGCACAGATACCAGAATGAACAAGCAATCATTCATGGTAAGACACAGTTAAAGGTAAATCAAGATATGTTTGATGATGATGATAACAGTTAATAATTATTATGTACCTGGCACTTTCTAAATGTTGTACTGATACTAATTTATTGAATCATAGCAGCCCTATATGAGGTAGAATCTATTTTTATCCTCACTTTACAGATGAGGAAACTCAAGTTCAAGGAGGTTAAAGTGATTTTAATGAATTTAATTAAAATGGCAGAAATGGGATGCAAACCTGGCAGGGTGATACCAAAGTTCACTAATGTGGTTGAAAAAGCAGACATTGAAAAGGAAAATATGTTGGGTAAAATTTTACCTAAAATTAATAGTTATTCATGTGTAGCAAAATCTTTTATCTATAGGCAGAAGATATTTTCCCTTGAGAAAGAAGGAAAGAAAAAGGAAGAGAAATAGAAATGGGCTTGTGTTCATTAGTTTTGTTTATCTCTTTTTTGAGGGAGAGAGAGATAGGCAGGCAGGCAGAGAGATAGAACCCCCAATAGAGTCTTGATGCTTCAATCTACCACCAGCTTCAGTCAACCCCAGATTGTGGTCACACGTGGGCCCAGTATAATCAGGGAGATGACTAGACATGAATTCAGAGCCTTCTCATTCTTGGGAAGTTTTGCAGAGCATTGCATTTGACCACTATGCCATCTTCCAGCCCCCAGGTAGTTACTTTTGATAGTCTCTGTCACAGTCCTCCTAACCCAGCCTCTCCATTATTTAGGATCACAGGCATGTGCAGCAGTTCCTGGTATATTTAGGTTGGCCCAGGAACCAAACTTAGGCCTCTTAGACAACTTCTAGCCTCCCAAGTGGTAGCATTATCTATACACTACCACAACTGAGCCTGGTAAAAGCTTTATAAAATCAATATAGAGGGTCAGCTAGGTGTCATAGTGGCTAAGGCAATTGGATCCCACATGGCTGACTGCAGGGTTTGAGTCCCAGCCAGGCAGCTTGAGAAACACTGGGCATGTATACATGTGTGCTTAAAATTCTCAGAGGAGAATGAAGGAGAAGGGTGTCTGCGCGCACATGTCTAAAATCATGAGAAGAGAATGGAAGAGAAGAGATTATGGTGTGGTCATCCCCCCGTGGGTGTTTTCTCACTTTCCCTTTCTCTCTGGATCTTTGGTAAGTGCACATGCCCCACAGCAAATTATTTTTAAAAATACACACACACACACATAAAGTGTTTATGAAATGTGTGTGAGAGTCCACTGACCAACTCTCCTGGAGGTGATTATGTAGGGGCTGTCAGGTGGCATGGTGGTTAAAGGTGCTAGATTCCCACATGACCAATGGGGTTCTAGTCCCAGACCCGGCAGCTTGCTTTCTTGCCTTCTCTATCTCTCTGTCTCTGTCTGGTCAAATCTAAAAATAATAATAACAAATATAATTAAATAAATAAATTATTATTTTTAAAAATGATTATGTAGAACCAGCAGTTAGCGTAATGGCTATGTTGCCGGATTCCTACGTAGTTGACCACGGTTCAAGTCCTGGACCTGGTGGCTTAAACTCACACTGGGCGCGTGTGCATGCATGCCCAAGATCCCGAGAGGAGAATGGAGAAGGGATTGTGACATGGTCATTCCCCCTGGGGGGTGATTTCTCGCTTTCTGTCTGTCTTTCTGGCGAGCGCAGGTTTTTCCTATAGCAAAAACCTCAAAAAAAAAAGAAAAAAGAAAAAGATAAAAATGATTATGTCGTAAAAAGGTCTGAGCAACTTTTTTGGATAAAATATCTAACATAGTCTTTACAAGGTCTGTGGGGCACAAGATTTGGGAGCAAATAAGGATATGTTGTAATTTAAATTTTTTATTCATTTACTCAGGAGTTAATCATATTTTGATGAATTAAGAATAAAAACTGGATAATTCATTTTGACTTTGAAGATCAGCAACTTTCTGTAAAGTGCTGTATAGTCAGTATTTTGGTCTTCGTGCTCTGTCTCAATTATTCCCTGCAGTACAAAAGCAGCCATAGCAATATGTAAATGTGATTGTGTCCCAGTAAAACTTGATGTACAAAAATAGGCAGCAGGCTGTTGTGTGTCACTGAACACAGACTTTTGTCTATGAGCTATTCCTAATTCATTTTAAAACAATTGTGGCTTTTTTCATCATCTTTTAAGTCAATGAGAATAGAACAGAATCATGGCTTAGCTGTGATAGTGCATGCCAGATACTGTGTTTTGGCAGGCTAAGGCCACATGGGAGAGCCAAGCCAGGCATTGTGGTGTGCATCACAGGCCCAGCTACACAGGAGGCAAAGGCACAAAGATTGTGACGTGGTCAATCCTTCTCTAAAATAACACCACAAACACACATACAAATACACAGAGAATACAAAAGAATGAAAAAGTAGGCCATAAATAATAATCTAGAGGGACCATCAGTTGGAGTAATGGCTATGTCGCTGGACTCCCTTGTAGTCGACAGCAGTTTGAGTCCCAGATCCAGTGGCTTAAACTCATGCTGGGCACGTGCGTGCGTGCCCAAGATCCCGAGAGGAGAATGGAGGAGAAGGGATTGAGGCATGGCCATCCCCCTTGGGGGGTGACTTCTCACCTTCATGTCTCTCTGTCTCTGTCTTTCTGGTGAGCGTATGCACCATATAGCAAAAACTACCCTCCCTCCAAAAAAATAATCTAGAAACATTTTTAAATATATTTTAAAATAATCTGATTTTAGTAACCTGCAGCTACACAAGGTGACATTCACATAACATAAAATTAACCATTTTAAATTAAGTAAACCATTCATTGTCATTTAATACATTCATTTTTATTTTTTGGAGAGTTTTTTTTTTTTTTTTCAATAGAGCATGTGCACTTGCTGGAGAGACAGAGAGAGAGAGAGAAAATGAGAAATCACTTCCCAGGGGGATGGCCTCACCACAATCCCTTCTCCTCCAGTCTCCTTTTGGAATTTTTGGGCATGCACGTGCCTGGCATGATTTTTAAGCCACTAGGTCTGGAACTTGAACCACAGCCATGCATGTATCAGTATTTCATTCTTTCTTACATGTGAGTAATGTTCCAGCATATGTATGTACCACAGTTTGTTTATCCATTCATCAGTTGGAAACATTTTGAATGGCATAGAATTTCAGTTGCAATAAGAACAGTAAATTACTCTGCGTAAAAAGAGAACTAAGTAGGACCAGCAGGTGGCGTGGCAGTCAAGGCACTGGACTCCCACATGGCTGACTGTGGTTTGAGTCTCAGACCTGGCAGCTTGCTTTCTCACATTCTGTCTCTCTGGTGAGCGCATGTGCCCTATAGCAAAAATTTAAAAATAGTAATAATAAATAAAATTAAATAATTCTTAAAGGCAAAAAAAAAAAGAAAAGAGAACTAAATTTTCTTTAATGAGACAAGCACATTTTCTAGACTGTCCTCTGGTAGCCTATTAGAATCATAGTTTTAGAGGTGAAAGGATTTTAGAATTAGTCTTCATGAGGGAGAGAGAGAGAGGAGGGAAAGCAAAATGAGGGGCTGGATGGTGGTACAGTGGTAAAATATGATGCTCTTTGAGGCTGACTCACATGGGGAATTTGTGGATTCACATCCAAAGATCTCCTTGAGTTTGTTGGATATGTGCATGCCCATGATCCAGATCTGACTGAATGATAGAGGTGGATTATAGCATTAGGACTCTGTTGGACATACCCTCTTTTATCATTTTCTTGCTCCTAAAATAAATAAATTTTTTAAAATGAAATCATTTGACTTGCCCATGGTAACAGAGTAAAACAATGATAGAATTGAGACTCAACCCATCTTCCTCCCAGTTAATGCTATCAGCACCACACTGTTTAGAGTACTCCAAAAGAATAGCCAATAGTTAACTCTCAACTTATAAACATTTCCTGAACTCTTCATCCAGGTTTCATTGTAATGGATGGAAAAAGTAATGAACATATTCCACTATATTTGTTGAGTATTAATGCCTCTTCAGTTGGATTTTGCTATTTTTGTTTCTTATTTTTCTATTTTAGGAGAGGAAAGTCACTGTCAAAAAGAGGACTGCCTTTCTTCTAGTAATTTAGCTTTGGAAGATGATGCATTCAATGCTCCATTTCATAAGAATGAAATACTATGTTTAAAGGAATTGCCATCTTTTCTCAATATCACAGATTTCCAGTTACCTGATGAAGAGTTTGGGCCTCTAAAGCTTGAAAAACTGAAGTCCTGCTCAGTAAAACCAGTGGGGCTGTTTGAACCAAAAACATTTGAAGAGAGGCCTCTTAAGGAGGCAAATTGCATTGTTCTGAAGGAAATGACTCCTGAACAAATAGACACAGAAATAGAGGACTTCAAAGAGGAACTTACTGTTCCTCCAGCAAAATCACATTCTAAAGTGGTAAACTTAAGACGCCAGCGTACAAAGACAGGTCTTTCTTCATCCATATTACTTTTCACACCTTTAAATAATGTTGCACCTGATAATGACAGATCTACAGATGTGTGTTCACCTACTTTCCCTATCTTAGGTACTACTCCAGCTTTTGGCTCCCAGGCCTATTGTGAAAAAGTGTCTGCAGAGGTTGTTAGACAAACTTGTTCACCCCAGCTTCCTCACTTGAAAGACACAGTCAATCTTGCTAGTGGAAGTAAACAATGTGACAGTTCCACCAGTCCACCAAAACTGGAAACCAACTTGCAGGTATCAGGTAGGCAAGGACAGCCTTCCTGTGGCTGTGACACTGGCTCCCAAGCAGCACCTCTACCCATTGAGTCATTCACTTTCAAAGAAAATCAGTACTGTGGAAATACATACCTGGATTTGTGTGAAGATTCCATTGAACAGGTACAATCTATTTTGTGAACATTTCTCTGAAGGAAGGAAATGTGTTAGTAAATCTTGATAGCATGACTTCCTTACACATTGTCCCCTTGGTGTTTAAGAATTTTTAAACATGTTTCTTTGATATGACTTCACTGTAAACATTAAGCTCATTTTGGAGAAAATAAAATTAATTAAAATATATATTTTAAATACAGGGAATCCTGTTCTCTTTGTCATCAATGAAACAGTTGCATTTGTAGCTTTGCTGCTGTTACCAGCGGAAATAAAACATATGAAGTAGACATTCTGATGAGTGAGTGATGCAGGCAGACACCTTACCTAAAGTATAGATTAATGGTATAACTTTTGTTTCCACAGACTGAAATAGCAGATCTCCCTGCTTGTGATAGCTTAAGTCCAGGCAGCCTACAGTTGGTTTCGAAGTTAAAGGTCAGAAGAACATTTCCTTAGAGTGTGTCTTGTGTCTTACATATGAAAAATTTAATGATTTGATAAGAAAATTGCAAAGAATTTGATCTTGCCAGCTTGTTCTTAATTTAATTCTATTTAAAAAACTTGGTAAACACTTAGAAAAACAGATTCAAACTGTTCTTCACAATATTGTCAAGAACAATTTAAGCTAAATTCTTAAACAATTTGAGCTTAATTGTTAATTTAAGCTAGCTCAACTTTGTATCATAATTATTTAATTATGTATCTAAATTTAGATCAGGCATTTTGGCAAAGAGTGAGGTAATTGCCATTCATGCCTCTCCTACCTGAATAGTATAATATTTCTACAAAATTAAGTTACTGTAATTTATAGGAAAATGGGTACTACTTCTAGATGTTGATATAGTGAATATTTACTCTTTTCTATGCTGTGTGATAATTGAAAATGTCTCTAGACATTGCTAAATTATCTTGGGAATTGGGGGTGAAAAATCTCTCCCAGTTAGGAACTACTGGTGTTGAGGAAAGAACTTCAAATCCACATAAAGTATTTCTTCCAATTGCTGGCTATGTGAATTTGGGCAAATTATTTAACCTCTAAGTCTTAGACTCCTTTGCTATAAAATGTACACAGTAATACCTGTGCACTGTTTCAAAGCTGTTCTGGAGTCAATTTAAGTAATTTAGTTCCTTAAGAAATCAATTATTGGGATCAGCAGTTAGCGTAATGGCTATGTTGCTGAACTCTCATGTAGTTGACCGCGGTTCGAGTCCTGGACCTGGTGGCTTGAACTTACTCTGGGCACGTGTGCGTGTGTGCCCAAGATCCCGAGGAGAATGGAGGAGAAGGGATTGCGGTGTGGCCATCACCCCTGGGGGATGATTTCTCGCTTTCTGTCTCTTGTCTCTCTCTGGCTCTCTGGCTTTCTAACAAGCGCACGTGCCCTATAGCAAAAACCTCTCAAAAAAAAAAAAAAAAAAGAAAAGAAAAAAAAGAAAACAATTATTCACGTTTTTTAATTTGTAGTTAAAGACTAATTTGTTTTGGTCTCTATTTGCAATTAAACCTCTCTTCCCATTGCTCTCCTTTTTAAAATGTTTATTTTTAATTAGCATAATTATACAGTGGAAATACAGTGATTTTTTTTTTCAATATGTGAACATGATATACAGTGATTCAATCAGTGTACTAAAATATATCCATCATCTCAACCATGTGTCCTTTTCTTTGTGTTAGGAACATTCAAAATCTTTTTTAGTTTTTTTGAAATGTACACTAAGGGTTGTTGTTAATCACATCTCCTTACTATATAACACTAGACATTGTTCCTCTTACCTAATTTTGATTTTATCAACATCCTTTTATTCCTCCACTCCCAAGTCCTTATTCTCTAATAGTCATTCTTCATTTCTCTACTTTTTTGAGGTCATTTTGTTTTTTTCCGATTTCCACATATGAGAACACGTGATATTTCTTTGTCTATGCCTGGTTTATTACTTTTAACATCCACTCCCCCATTTCTAAAAGCATTTCATTTCCTATATCAGATAGAGATACATGCCCAATCTTTTGGTCTTACAGAGAAACTAGTTTCTGATACTTTTTATTAAGTGGGATCTTGTTTTATTTTCTACTTAATTTTTGGTTTTGTTTGTTTTGTTTTATTTTGTTTTCGTTTTTAAATTTGCCATAGGGGGTGTACGCTTGCCAGGGAGAGACAGAGGGAGAGGAAGAGTGACAGTGAGAAAGTACCCCCCAGGGAAAATGACCATGTCATATTCTCTTCTCCTCCACTCTCCTCTTGGGATTTTTGGACATGCACATTATGCCAAGCCCAGGACTTGAACGGTATAGTTGGCCATGTGAGCTTCAGCTACCTAGCCATCATACTACCTGGCTGACCCACTGTATTTGTTTTTATCTTTAATAATTCCTTCCTTCCATTTTGTATTGTTCTTATTTTGTTCTCTTATTATTCTTTTACTAAATTCTTCAGCTGCATGCTTAATTTATTTTAGTCTTTCCCATTTTGTAATAAATATCTTGTGATTATTGTATTTATTTAAGAGAGATTTTTGCTATAGGGTGCATGCGCTTCTGGCGAGACAGAGACAAAAATCGATAAGTCACCCCTCAAGAGGGATGGCAATGCTGCAATCCCTTCTCCTCCATTCTCTCAGGATTTGGGGTACACATACTCAAACTCCCAGCACTAGTTTCATGCCAACAGGTTCAGGACTTGAACCACCGTTGGCCATGTGGGAATCCAGCTGCATAACCATTACACCATCTGCTGGTCCTGTGATTATGATTTTTTTCTTGAAATATTGCTTAGGACTTGCTCTGTGAGTTAGAATATATAGTATTGTCCTTATTTTAATTGGAGCTAATATATTATGTGCTGTTTCAGTGTTATTCTCTCTTTAATCAGTAAGTGGTTTATCAGGATGTTTAATTTCCAAATGGATAAGTTCTTGTGGGCCATCTTTTTATGATTAAATCTGAATTGTTCTGTTCTGGAACTATACATGATTATTGAATTATGTAAGTTAGTGTAGGCAATTTTTTTAGTTACATGAGACTTATGAAGCTCTTTCTTTGGACTTGCATAAAACTTTGATTTCATTTACCTAGTATTTAATCTAATCCTTGTAATCCGTATTTTATCATATTTATTCATTTCACAAAACAGAACTTCAGTATCTCTTTAACATAACTGTTGTTGCCATTCCATGTCAGAATACTTCAGGTTCCTGTTCTGTGGATGTGAGTGCCATGTGGTGGGAAAGGGCTGGTTGTAAAGAACCATGTATCATAACTGCTTGTGAAGATGTTGTCTCTCTTTGGAAACCTCTGGACACTTGGCAGTGGGAAGAAATTTACACCTGGCACTTCACAGAGGTAAGTCAAAATCTTTGAGCTGAGAGATACTCTCTGTTGTCTGCATGGTAATATATTGATAGGTAGGCAGCTTACCAAGACTGGGATCTCTGACCAGACAAGGCAAAACAGAGAGATGAGGTTACCTCCCCTCAACCCCATTTTTTTGGGACAATTTCAAACAAAGAAAAAACTAGAATGGTAAGTTCCCATATACCCACCATCTAAACACCATCTACTTACATCATACTTTGTTTTATCACATGCTTATTCAGTGTTTTGTTCTGTTTTGTTTTTGCCATAGAGCATGTGTGCTTGCCTGAGTGAAACAAAGACAGCAAGAAAAAGTACAATGGCGGGAACCAGCAGTTAGCGTAATGGCTATGTTGCTGGACTCCCACGTAGTCGACCGCGGTTCGGGTCCCGGACCCGGTGGCTTAAAACTCACGCCGGGCGCATGTGCGTGCGTGCCCAAGATCCTGAGAGGAGAATGGAGGAGAAGGGATTGCGGCATGACCATCCCCCCTGGGGGGTGATTTCTCACTTTCTGTCTCTATGTCTCTCTCTGTCTGTCTGGCGAGCGCACGCGCCCTACAGTGAAAATCTCTCCCAAAAAAAAAAAAAAAGTACAATGGCCATAGTACAGTTTCTTTTCCAATCCCCTCTCGGGATTTTGGGCATGCATGCACACATGCCCAGTGTGTTTTTCAAGCCACTGGGACTTGGGCTCAGACATCAGCTGCTGGTCCCAGAGATGAATTTTTATACTAGATATTTTGAAAGAGCTTAGAACATCATGTTTGTTTTGACTGATAAACTTAATATATATTTCTTGCCCTTCACCAAAACATTATTTCTGTTGCTTTTATATATGTATTTCCTTCTAATCTTTGTCATCTTCATACATACTTTGTATGTTACAATCCTGTATACTTAAAAATTTTGAATCTATCCTTCCCTACTTACCATATAAACATTTTTCATTACTACATATTCATCTTGCTTGTTAATACTTCATTCTTGTTGTTTTCTAATTTGCCAGAGGGCATGTGGTCACCCTGCAGTCTCCTCTCTACTTCTCCCTCCTTTCAGGATTTTGGTATGCATGCACACATGCGCAGCATGTTTCTCAAGCTTCTAGGTCTAGAACTCAAATAGTGTAGTTGGCTAAGTGGAATCCAACCACGTTAAATCATCATGCTATACCACCAGCTGGCCCCTTGCTCTTTTCTGTATCCATAGCTTCTTGCACTGTACTTGGCACAGAATATTTGTTCAGTAAAGATATGTATCTTTTTTTAAGAATTATTTTATTTATTTTATTTATTTATTTTTCTGAATTGTTATAGGGCACCTGTGCTACCAGAGAGAGAGAGAGCAAGAAAGCAAATCGCCAGGTCTGGGACTCAAATCATGGTATACCATGTGGGAGTCCAGCACCTTAACCTCCATGCTACCTGCTAGCCCTGAGATGTATCATATTTTTGTTTGTTTACAACACAAATCCATTTTTATTCATTTACGTTTTATTATTTTAAATCCTTGAGGGGTACACTATCACATGGATTCTGTGTCCAATGGCCTTAGCAGGAATTTGGCTCGGGAACCAGCAGTTAGCGTGCGTAATGGCTATGTCGCTGGATTCCCATGTAGTCGACCGCGGTTTGTGTCCCGGACCTGGTGCCTTAAACCTCACGCCGGGCGCATGTGCATACGTGCCCAAGATCCCGAGAGAATGGAGGAGAAGGGATTGTGGCGTGACCATCCCCCCTGGGGGGTGATTTCTTGCTTGCTGTCTCTATGTCTCTGTCTGTCTGGAGAGTGTACACACCCTGGAGAGTGTACACACCCTATAGCGAAAAAACCTCTCAAAAAAAAAAGAATTTGGCTCAAACCATGCCACTGTTTCCATGGACATGGGTTACCTTTCCCCAGATTACTTTGGTTTTATTTGGTTTGCGATCACGAGTCACTGTGTTGTTTTTTGCTTTGTACACATAAGCACACCTCTTGCCTAGATAGAATTCCATTTCATTTTGTGCATAAACACCTTCAATTTTTTTTTATATGATCAGCTATTTAATTAGGTTCTTGGCCAAAAAAGTCTAGAACACCAATTTGTGAGGATAGACTCCATTTGTAAGGGCAAACATGGATCGCAGGTAGCCCTGGAGCTGAGAAACAGCTTTGATTTTTGGTAAAATTTGCGAATCCACAGCTTTCTGATCAATCTTGCGCTGCTCTGAAATCTCGTATTTCTCCTTCTCTGTGTTGAAGATCTCACCTTCCTGGTGTCTGGGCTTCCACTGTTTCTTTTTCTTGAAGTAAGCATTGGTAAGGTGCTTTGGGATTTTTACTTTGCTAATATCAATTTTCGTGGAGGTGGCAATGACAAATTTCTGGTGTGTTCTACGCAGTGGAACTCGATTGAGAACCAGCGGTCCAGTTACAAGTAGCAAGCCACTGCTCAGCTGCTTCAGGAAAACCACTCTCTTGCCTCTGTGGCGTCCAGTGAGGATGATCAGAATGGTCCCAGGAGTGATGCTGGCTCGCAGCTTTCTCACATGCTGACTGAAGGGTTTTTTGCTGTGGCTCAACAGCTTTCGAGGCACATCTTCAGTAGGATAATACCTAGGCATTTTGCGCAGTTTAACCACCCAGGTACCACCATTCTTGTCTCCACCAACCGGTTTTGTGACAGTCACAAGAACCTTCTCCTTTTTCTTTTTGATCCTGGATTTAGAGGCTGTGGCCGAGTATTTCCTCTCGTACATGGCCTTCCTGGAGTACACGGCAGACCGGAAGTATCTGCCGATGCCCCGGACTAGGACAGGGTTTCGGCTGCAATGGGGCTTCCCCTTCTTGGGCTTTTTAGCCTTGGGGTTACCCTTTTTAACCTTGCCACTGGCATCAGCCTTCTTGGCTTCAGGTTTCTTCTCCTTAGTATCCTGCTTTGCAGCTTTATTGCCTGCCATCGTGTATAGTGGGAAAGAGAACTCAACACCTTCAATTTTAAGAAGAGCTGTGTGCTCTCTTTGGTTCCTGAGACCCCACTTATAGCCAGCAAAAGTAGCCTTGGACCACAGTCTTCCAGACATAGTTAGTTGCCTTTTAGAAGTCCTGTTTTCAGCAGGCCTCCACAGGCTCCAAGATGGTGGGAGGAGTGAAATATATCATTTTAAGTAGCTATATTATGTTCTTTTCAGTCACATGACAGAATGTCCTTTTTTTTTTTTTTTTTTTTTTTTTGTCTTAAGAGAGATTTTTGCTGTAGGGTGTGTGCTCACCAGAGGAACAGAGGAACAAATAGCAAGAAATCACCCCTCAGGATGGATGGCCATGCCACAATCCCTTCTGCATTCTCCTCTTGGGATTTTGGACACACACGCCTGGCAGGATTTTTTGTTTTGTTTTGTTTTTTCCTTTGAGAGGTTTTTGCTATAGGGCGTGTACACTCACTAGAAAGACGGAGAGAGGCAGAAAGCGAGAAATCATGCCCCGGGGGGATGGTCACGCCGCAATCCCTTCTCCTCTCAGGATCTTGGGGCATGCACGTACACGCACCCGGCATGAGTTTAAGCCACGAGACCCAGAACTCAAACTGTGGTCAACTACATGAGAGTCCATCAACGTAGCCATTACGCTATCTGCTGGTCCCCCTGGCATATTTTAAGCTAGTAGGTCTGGAACTCAAACCGTGATAGACTACATGGAAGTCTGGCAACATGACCATTATGCCATATGCTGGTCTGATGCCAGAATTCCTTAATTCTCTATTGTTGGAAGTGTAGATTGCATTAAATACTAAATAAACACTGTTATGGGACTGACAGATGGTATGGTGGTTAAAGCGCTAGACTCCCACTTGGCAAACTGCAGATTGAGTCCTGGACCTAGAGGCATGCTTACTCACTTTTCCTCTCTTTCTGTCTTTCTCTGGTCAAATTTGAAAGAAAAAAAAAAAAAAAAACTTTAGAAAAATACACTGTTACACACATATAGCTTATTTAAAATTATAGCTTTTAAAAAGAGGGTATGTTCTGAACCTTCTCTCATTTGTGAGAATACAGAAGAATATTATAACTTTTAGAAAATTTAGATTAATTTTAAGTGAAACAATCAAGTATAATATTTGAATTCTTTGTTTAATTTAGGTTCCAGTATTGCAAATAGTTCCAGTGCCTGATGTTTATAATCTTGTGTGTGTAGCTTTGGGAAATTTAGAAATCAGAGAAATCAGGTATGTATCCCAAGGAATAATTTTCCCCCCTTTGATTGTTATCTCTGTCAGCTTATATATATATATTTTTTTTTTTTTTTTTGGGGGGGTTTTTTTTTTTTTTTTTGCTATAGGGCGCGTGCGCTCGCCAGACAGAGAGAGACATAGAGACAGAAAACGAGAGATTACCCCCCAGGGGGGATGGTCACGCCGCAATCCCTTCTCCTCCATTCTCCTCTTGGGATCTTGGGCACGCACACACACGTGCCCTGCGTGAGTTTTAAGCCACTGGGTCCGGGACGCGAACCACGGTCAACTAAGTGGGAGTCCAGCGACATAGCCATTACGCTAACTGCTGGTTCCCTCTGTCAGCTTATTTTGAGTACAGGTTATAATCTAGGTTTGAATCTTGAAAGAATCTTTATTTAGGTCTAAAGAGATTTGTTTTTAAAAAATCGGTAGTGTGTTGGGACCACAGATGGCATAATGGTTATGTCACTAGACTCCCACGTAATCAAAGCAGTTCAGGTCCTGGACCCAGAAGCTTGAAGCATACTGGGCGTGTATGCATGTGTGCCCAAAATCCTGAGAAGAGAATGGAAGAGAAGGGATTGCGACATGTCCATCCCCCTGAGGGGTGATTTCTCTCTTTTTGTCTGTCTCTCTGGTGAGTGCACGCACTGTATAACAAACTCTCTTGAAAAAAAAATTAGGGGACCAGCAGTTAGTGTAATGGCTATGTCACTGGACTCCCATGTAGTCGACCGTGGTTCATGTCTCCGACCCGGTGGCTTAAAACTCACACTGGGTGCGTGTGCGTGCATGCCCAAGATCCCGAGAGGAGAACGGAGGAGAAGGGATTGCAGCATGGCCATCCCCCCTGGCGGGTGATTTCTCGCTTTCTGTCTCTCTGTCTCTCTCTCTCTCTCTCTCTGTCTGGCGAGCGCACACGCCCTATAGCAAAAACCTCTCAAAAAAAAAAAATATTAGTAGGCACCAGCAGTTAGCATAATGGCTATGTCGCTGGACTCCCATCTAGTCTACTGCAGTTCACGTCCCGGACCCGGCGGCTTAAACTCATGCCAGGCGCATGTGCGTGCGTGCATGCCCAAGATCCCAAGAAGAGAATGGAGGAGAAGGGATTGTGGCATGGCCATCCCCCTTGGGGGGTGATTTCTTGCTTTCTATCTCTCTGTCTTTCTCTGTTTTTCTGGCAAGCACACACGCCCTATAGCAAAAACCTCTCAAAAAAAAAAAAAAATTAGTGTAACATCTCTGATTGAAGTTTCCACTGAAAATTTGATCCTAGTCATCTAATATTAAAAACTTACTTCTGACTCCTTCTCATTTTTCCTTATATCTGGTTTAGAGCATTACTTGGTTCCTCTAGTGATGAAAGTGAAAAGCAAGTACTACTGAAATCTGGGAATATAAAAGCTGTGCTTGGTCTGACAAAGAAGAGGCTAGTCAGTAGCAGTGGGACCCTTTGTGATCAACAAGTAGAAATCATGACATTTGGAAAAGATGGAGGGTAAGAAAAGCATTAGTTTGTTTTAACTATTAGATAAAGAATGATGTTATCGGGACCAGCAGGTGGTGTGGTGATTAAGGCACTGGACACTCCCACATGGCTGACCAGGCAGGGTTCAAGTCCTGAATCTGGTGGCTTTGTTTCTCACTTCTTCTCTCTCTTCTCTCTTTCACCCTCAACCTCTGTCTCTCTCTGGGCAAATTAAAAAAAAAAAAAAAAAGAAAAAAAAAGAATGAATAAATAATAGTAAAATAATTATTTAAAAAAAAGAATGAATAAATAAAAATAAAATAATTATTTAAAAAAAAAAAAGAATGATGTTATCGCAGGTTTCAGAAAAAGTTGGATTTTCCATTCTCTAAGTGTAGTATAGCAGGTACTGCCTATTAATGACTAGGTTATAACATAGAAGGAGGTTAGATATGGAAGCCAGACATAGCAGGGAAGAAGTCAATGGAATGGACAGATGCAGCAAGTGTAGTTTGTTTTTTCTTAAATCTTTGAAATTTGTGCATTCCTTAAATATTAGACGTAGCTCAAGTCCTTGACCCTTTACTCATTCTGCTCACTTGGTGTCCATTGCTTCATTGTCAGTCTAGATGCTAACAACTTGCAAACATAACATTTCTAGCTCTTTCTTGGCCTTTGGGTATGCATGTCTGTTTGTTAGACATCCTGTGGACACCTCAGATTTAACATGTTGAAATTGAACTTGGAACTACTTTTTTTCTATCATATACTCATTATACTATATTATCATTAATCTGACTTTCCTAAATTGGAGGGTAGGAGCCTTTTGTGTGTTATTTATTCATGATTTGTTATAGACAGATAATTGTTTACTTAAATTAAGAAAGTGTTAGCAGAAATGGGAAGAAGCAGCTTTATGAGAGTTGAGACAGTAAAATCACTAAGTCCTGGTAACTGACTAGACAGAGGAAGGAGACAAGGATAATGTTCAGGTTTCAGGGTTTATCACTGGGTGGAGCAACTCATTGAGGTAAGAACATGTAAAGAAACAAGAAGTTTAAAGAGAAAGTTGATGAATTTAATTTTGAACATGATGAATTCAAGGTGCTTACAACATATCCAAATAGATAATATGAAAGTAATGTATGTTTATTGTAGATAGCGTAGAATATATCTGTTTTCTGTTTGTTTTTTCTGGTTTTAGGTTTGTTTTTATTATGCATAGTTTAGTAATGGGTAGAAGAGGTACTTAGAAACTGGGTTAGTGCAAAGTAATGATTTTTAATACCATTTTAAATGCAGAAGCAAAGACAAACTGTTTTTAATGTCCCCTGAAGAGACTGTCCTAACTTTTGCTGAGGTCCAAGGGATGCAAGAAGCTCTGCTTGGTACTACTATCATGAATAACATTGTTATTTGGTAAGCATTCTCTATAGATCCTCAGTAGTATGAGGATATCCCTCTAATTTTATAGGGTTGTTGTGAAGATTAGGTGAGAGTATGTAAGCATGATTGTGTTGTTTTTTTTTTTTTTTTTTACCATCAGATGCAATATATTTGTCTTACTTACAGGAGGCAAATGAGGACTATTTGGTTGGCCTTTTTTCTTATGTGGTGAAAGGTACCTAAGTATATAATTGTGAGTGGAAAATAGAGGACAGAAATCAGATATTGGCCCTTTCCCCATTTTCATTTGTGTGTGAATTTTTAATAATAAATGAAGGGATGTAAAGCATTAATGAAGTCTAAATGTTTTGGTGAACAAGTTTTAGCAGTTCAACTTTATAACAGTTATAGAAAAACCTGTTAAATTTTTTTGGACGATGCCACCATTTGTTTTTTAAGTAAATTTTCTTATTCAAAACAAAACCAAATCATATTAATTCATGTATTCTGAAAAAGATCAATCTGAGGGCTGACTGTGATAGTATAGTTTCACCCTCAACCTCTGTCTCTCTCTGGGCAAATTAAAAAAAAAAAAAAAAAGAAAAAAAAAGAATGAATAAATAATAGTAAAATAATTATTTAAAAAAAAGAATGAATAAATAAAAATAAAATAATTATTTAAAAAAAAAAAAGAATGATGTTATCGCAGGTTTCAGAAAAAGTTGGATTTTCCATTCTCTAAGTGTAGTATAGCAGGTACTGCCTATTAATGACTAGGTTATAACATAGAAGGAGGTTAGATATGGAAGCCAGACATAGCAGGGAAGAAGTCAATGGAATGGACAGATGCAGCAAGTGTAGTTTGTTTTTTCTTAAATCTTTGAAATTTGTGCATTCCTTAAATATTAGACGTAGCTCAAGTCCTTGACCCTTTACTCATTCTGCTCACTTGGTGTCCATTGCTTCATTGTCAGTCTAGATGCTAACAACTTGCAAACATAACATTTCTAGCTCTTTCTTGGCCTTTGGGTATGCATGTCTGTTTGTTAGACATCCTGTGGACACCTCAGATTTAACATGTTGAAATTGAACTTGGAACTACTTTTTTTCTATCATATACTCATTATACTATATTATCATTAATCTGACTTTCCTAAATTGGAGGGTAGGAGCCTTTTGTGTGTTATTTATTCATGATTTGTTATAGACAGATAATTGTTTACTTAAATTAAGAAAGTGTTAGCAGAAATGGGAAGAAGCAGCTTTATGAGAGTTGAGACAGTAAAATCACTAAGTCCTGGTAACTGACTAGACAGAGGAAGGAGACAAGGATAATGTTCAGGTTTCAGGGTTTATCACTGGGTGGAGCAACTCATTGAGGTAAGAACATGTAAAGAAACAAGAAGTTTAAAGAGAAAGTTGATGAATTTAATTTTGAACATGATGAATTCAAGGTGCTTACAACATATCCAAATAGATAATATGAAAGTAATGTATGTTTATTGTAGATAGCGTAGAATATATCTGTTTTCTGTTTGTTTTTTCTGGTTTTAGGTTTGTTTTTATTATGCATAGTTTAGTAATGGGTAGAAGAGGTACTTAGAAACTGGGTTAGTGCAAAGTAATGATTTTTAATACCATTTTAAATGCAGAAGCAAAGACAAACTGTTTTTAATGTCCCCTGAAGAGACTGTCCTAACTTTTGCTGAGGTCCAAGGGATGCAAGAAGCTCTGCTTGGTACTACTATCATGAATAACATTGTTATTTGGTAAGCATTCTCTATAGATCCTCAGTAGTATGAGGATATCCCTCTAATTTTATAGGGTTGTTGTGAAGATTAGGTGAGAGTATGTAAGCATGATTGTGTTGTTTTTTTTTTTTTTTTTTTACCATCAGATGCAATATATTTGTCTTACTTACAGGAGGCAAATGAGGACTATTTGGTTGGCCTTTTTTCTTATGTGGTGAAAGGTACCTAAGTATATAATTGTGAGTGGAAAATAGAGGACAGAAATCAGATATTGGCCCTTTCCCCATTTTCATTTGTGTGTGAATTTTTAATAATAAATGAAGGGATGTAAAGCATTAATGAAGTCTAAATGTTTTGGTGAACAAGTTTTAGCAGTTCAACTTTATAACAGTTATAGAAAAACCTGTTAAATTTTTTTGGACGATGCCACCATTTGTTTTTTAAGTAAATTTTCTTATTCAAAACAAAACCAAATCATATTAATTCATGTATTCTGAAAAAGATCAATCTGAGGGCTGACTGTGATAGTATAGCAGTAGCACATCATGCTGGAAATCAGGGTTCAGCTCCTGGGTCAACCTATATACTCCAGGCTTGTGCAAATGTGCCCGTAATCTTGACTGACCTAAGGCTATAGAGAGGATCATGGTGTGAGACCTTGTGGAGGGCTTAGGCATGAATTTCTCTTACTCTCTTTCTCTCCCTCCTAAAAGAAAGAAAGAAAAGATTAGATAGTCTAGATACATTAACTTTACATTTTTGTAAATAATTTATTTATTTATTTATCTATTTATTTATTTTAATTTGGCCAGATAGGGACAGAGTGAGAAACAGAGAGAGAAAGGGAGAAAGCAAGCTACCAGATCTGGGACTTGAACCACAGTCAGCCATGTGGGAGTGTAGTACCCTTAACCACTGTACCACCTACCTGTCCCTACATTTTGATAAATTCCATTTATTTTAAAATACTTAAATAGTTAAGGGACTGGCCTGGTGGTTAAGGAAGCCATTCCCTCATGGCTAACCATAGCTCACATATCAGCCCCAGCAGCTTGAACAACATGCCAGGTATGTGTGCGTACATCTCCAAAATCCCAACAGGATGGAAAATGGAGGAAAAGGGATTGTGGCATAACTACTCCCATCGGAGGGTGCTATCTTCCTTCTTCTCTGTCTCTCTGGCAAGCATATGTGCCATCTGGCAATTAAAAATAGGTAGCATAATATTATAATATTAGATCTATTCCTTTTTATTATTTTTTTTGAGAGATATTTTGCTATAGGTTGCGTGTATTCTTTGGAGAGACAGAAAGCAAGAAATCTCCCCTTGGGAGAATGGCCATGCCACAATCGATTCTCTTACATTTTCTTCTTGAGATTTTTTAAAATTTAATTTTATTATTATCATAACCTTTTTTATATTACATTGAATCACATATATCTTTACAGTGTATTACATTTCTTTTTCCAGCACAATTACCATGCATATCAGTCAAGACAGAGGCATTATTAGTCACATCATCATCATCAAATAGTTTTTCTTTTTTTTTCAGATTATTATTATTATTTATTCTCATTATCCTCTTGGGATTTTGAGCATGCAAGCACACACAACCAGCATGAGTTTCAAGCTGCCAGGTATGACATTCAGACCATGGTCAACCATGTGGTAGTCCAGTGCCTGTGCCATTACACCACCTGCTGGCCCCTAGATTTATTAATACTGCCTGCCTTACCTCCTTGCTTAGGATAGTTACTCAAAGATATATTGATCATGCTCCCTACCAAATGCTATCATTTACCTTCTGAACTCTCTAGAATTCTGTGTTTAAATATAGTATTTATTCACCTTTTTTTTTTTGGAGAGGTTTTTGCTTTAGGGCGCATGCTCTCGCCAGACAGACAGAGAGAGACAGAGAGATAGAAAGTGAGGGGGATGGCCACGCTGCAATCCCTTCTCCATTTTTCTCTCGGGATCTTGGGCACGCATGCACACATGCCCAGCGTGAGTTTAAGCCACTGGGTCCAGGACGTGAACCGCGATCGACTATGTGGGAATCCAGCAACATAGCCATTACACTAACTGCTGGTCCCTTCACCTTCCTTCTTTAACTCCTGATTTGTTAGCTATCTAAAGTGATGATTCTTTTCTGGTATCCCTAACAGGAATATTTAGCATATGAACATGAAAAAAAAATTATTTTAAAGGTTTTTGCTCTAGGGTGCATGTGCTCACTGGAGACAGAGAAAGGCAGTGAGAGGGAAAGTGAGAAATCATGTCCCGGGGCAGTGCAGTCCGTTTTCCATTTTCCTCCTAGGATTTTGGGCATGGGTGCACATGTGCCTGGTGTGATTTTCAAGCTGCCAGGTCCTGGACTTGAATTACTGTAAGCTATGTGAGAGTCCAGCTCCTTAATCACCATGCCACTTGTTGACCCATGAACATGAAAATTTAATTTTCCTTCTTTAATATTTTTATACAGAGTACATGGCCTATAGAAAGTTCTGTGTTAAGGTGCTGGGCACATGTGCATGCGTGCCCAAGATCCTGAGAGGAGAATGAAGGAGAAGGGATTGACGTGTGGCCATCCCCTCAGAGGGTGATTTCTCACTTTCTGTCTCTTTCTGGTGAGCACATGCACCCTATAGCAAAAACCTCTCCAGAAAAAAAAGAAAGGAGATTTCTATTGGGACCAGCAATTGGCGTAAGGACTATGCCACTGGACTCCCATGTAGCCCTGGGAATGTATAATATGTTCTACAGGTAGTAAGATTTCAAGGAAAGGAGCAGTAATAATGTAGCATTGAGTCCTGGATTCATAAAGGTGTGATATACCATTGAATGAACTTGGACTTTGGGACCAACAGATGGTATAATGGTTATGTTGCTGGATTCCCATATAGTCAACTGTGGTTCAAGTCCCCGACCCGGTTGCTTAAAATTCACACTACATGTAGTCGAGGAGAATGGAGGAGAAGGGATTGTTACATGGTCATCCCCTCTGGGGGATGATTTCTTCCTATCTCTCTGTCTCTTACTGTCTCTCTGGCAAGCTTACGTGCTCTATAGGAAATATCTCTCTGAAAAAGAAAAAAATTAACTTGGACTTTATCTTGTGACTAATGTGGAGCTGAACTGAAAGTATTCATGAGTATGGTAACATGACAGAGCAGTTACAAATGTGACAAATCCTCAAGAAAGCTGAAGAGCAGTTTCAACAAATTCCCTTTTTTCTTTTTCTTTATATTCACTCTCTTTTCTCATCTTTTTCCCTTTTTTTTTTTGGAGAGGTTTTTGCTATAGGGCGCGTGCGCTCGCCAGACAGAGAGAGACAGAGAGACAGAAAGCGAGAAATCACCCCCGGGAGGATGGCCATGCCCTTCTCCTCCATTCTCCTCTTGGGATTTTGGGCACGCACACACACACGCGCCCAGCATGTTTTAAGCCACCGGGTCCGGGACGCAAACTGCAGTTGACTACGTGGGAGTCCAGCGACATAGCCACTACACAAACTGCTGGTTCCCTCCCTTTTTAAATTCCATTTCTTTTTGGTTTTGTTTTTGTTTGTTTTTGAGAGATCTTTTGCTGTAGGACGCGTGTACTCGCCATAAAGAGAAAGACAGACAGAAAGCGAGAAATCACCCCCTCCCCAGGGGGGATGGCCAAGCTGCAATCCCTTCTCCCCCATTCTCCTCTTGGGATCTGGGGCACGCAGACACATGTGCCCAGTGTGAGTTTAAACCACTGGGTCCGGGACTTGAACCATGGTTGACTACATGGGAGTCCAGAGACATAACCATTATGCCAACTGCTGGTCCTTTTTAAACTCCATTTCTGTCATCTTTTCTCTCTCTATTGTCTTGGTCTGATTCTAGTAAAAACATATATGAGGACATAATTATAAGTCTGTTTTAAGTGTTATCTCTTATCCAACTAATTTTGGTTTCCTTCCCATTGTTTTTGATGAGAAATTAAGATATAAGAAGCATCACAATGGGCCGGTAGGTGGCATGGTGGTTAAAGACACTGGACCCTCACATGGCCAACTCTAGTTTGAGTCCTGGACCTTGTGGCTTGCTTTCTCACTTTCTCTCCCTCTGTCCCTCCATGGTCAAATTAAAATAAAGAAATGGATAAAAAAAGTTAAATAAAATAATTATTTTTTAAAAAAGAAGCATCACAAAATCATAATGGTATCATGTGCTTTTTTCAATACCAGGTAAAACAGATAATAGAAAGCCTTTTCAAAATGCAAAAACATTCTTAGATCACGGGCCGTACAAATAATCTTTGAGCAGGTTGGCTCCATGGCCTAGTGGTTAAAGGAGCTGGATCCCACATGGCCAATTACACAGTTCAGATTCTAGCCCCAGCAACTTGGAAAATGATGACAGGTGCATATGTTTGCATGCCCAGAATCTCAACAGGATGGACAAATGAATTTGGAGAGATTTATCCCTGGCATAGGAGATTCATTCTAAAACTAAACTATCAAATTGAACTATCGGCAGAGTTCACTTCTAATTCTACTTTTTGCTAAATCTATAATTTAACAAAAATAAAATGCTATATATCCTGTAGTAAAGTTTTTCCTTTGGTCATCTCCTAAAGATACTGTGATAAATAACAATATTATGCGAAAACCAGTTTGCTGAAATAATTTGATCAGCTTATTTATTTGGGATTTCTAAGGAACTTAACAACTGGTCAACTCCTGAAAAAGATGCACATTGATGATTGTTACCAAGCTTCAGTCTGTCACAAAGCCTATTCTGAAATGGTAAGTAATGATCTGCTGGGACCCCTTTTTGTTTATGTTGGGTTACTACTGGTCTCACTAAGTGAGAGCAATAACTAATTAGTAAATGAGCAGATCTCCCTATTGCTTATTTTTTCCAAATTAGATAGCAGTATTTGTTCTTCCTTGAAATTTATGGATGAAAGTGTTGAATTTCTTTTAATTTTCATATATCACAGTATATTCTTCTACTGATTTTTTTTTCTTAACCATTTCAAAACGCAAAAACATTCTTAGATCACAGGCCATACAAATAATCTTTAAGCAGGTTGGCGCCTTGGCCTAGTGGTTAAAGGAGCTGGATCCCACATGGCCAATTACACAGTTCAGATCCTAGCCCCAGCAACTTGGAAAATGATGACAGGTGCACATGTTTGCATGCCCAGAATCTGGACAAATGGAAAAGGAATTGTTTTGTGACTATGTCTCTTTGGTGATTGTTTTCTCCTTTTCCTTCTCTTTCTGTCTTTGGCAAGCACATACACCCTCTAACAGTTAAATAATAATAGACTTTGGGCCAGATTTTGCTTGTGGGTCATAGTTTGTCAACCAGTTCCTAATTAAGTATATGGCATTTAACACTTTTAAATTCTTAGTATTTTTTAAATAGAAAAGTAATCTTTTTTTGGAGAGGTTTTTGCTATAGGGCACTAGGGCATATGCACTTGCCAGAAAGACAGAGTCAGACAGAGAGACAGAAAGTGAGAAATCACCCCTCAAGGGGGATGGCCATGCTGCAGTCCCTTCTCTTCCATTCTCCTTTCAGAATCCTGGGCACTCACACACACATGCCCGGTGTGAGTTTAAGCCATTGTGTCTGGGACTCAAACCACGGTCAACTACATAGGAGTCCAGTGATGTAGCCATTACATCATCTGCTGGTCCTGAAAAGTAATCCATTTTTATTAAAATAATTCAGTCATCTGGGGCTGGCAGGTGGTGTGTGATGGCTAAGGGCACTGGAGTCCCACTTAGCCAATTACGGTTCGAGTCCTGGACCTGGCACCTTGTTTTCTAACTCTCTTTCACTTTTGCCAAATTAAAATAATAAATAAATAAATAAATAATGCTAAATACAGTAATTCTTTAAAAACAAAAAGAGTTCAATAATCCTAGGAATGTATAAATTTTTTTTTTTTTTTTGAGAGGTTTTTTCGCTATAGGGCGCGTGCGCTCGCCAGACAGACAGAGAGAGACATAGAGACAGAAAGCGAGAAATCACCCCCCAGGGGGGATGGTCACGCCGCAATCCCTTCTCCTCCATTCTCCTCTCGGGATCTTGGGCACGTACGCACACGCACCCGGCGTGAGTTTTAAGCCACCGGGTCCGGGACGCGAACCGCGGTCGACTACGTGGGAGTCCAGCGACATAGCCATTACGCTAACTGCTGGTTCCCAGGAATGTATAAATTTAAAAGTGAATGTTACTAATGCTAAAATGATCCTGTTGTTTTATGTTCTTTTTTTAAATTATTTTATTCACTTATTTATTTATTATTATTTTTTCATGTGGGTTTTTGCCCCAGAAAGACAGAGAGAGAGAGAGAGAGAGCAAGCTGCCAGTTTCAGTACTTGAACGGTGTTCATTCATGTGGGAATTCCAGCGCCTTAACCACCATGTCACCTATTGGCCTAAACCTGTTGTTTTATTTTTCTCTTAAAGATAACTACTTTCAATGTATAATATGAATCTATAGATATGAGTCTAAGCGTATATATTTATATATGGATATTAATATTGTTTGATCCTGTCATTTTTTTTCTCTTTTTAATTTGTTAGAAGATATATACACTTGCCAGAGAGAGGGAAAATGAGAGAGTGCCCCTTATGGGAGATGGTCAGGCTGCAGTCCCTCCTCCTCCACTTCTTTCTGGGTTTTTTTTTTTTTTTTTGGAGAGATTTTCACTGTAGGGCGCGTGCGCTCGCCAGACAGAGACATAGAGACAGAAAGCGAGAAATCACCCCCCAGGGGGAATGGTCACACCGCAATCCCTTCTCCTCCATTCTCCTCTCAGGATCTTGGGCACGCACGCACGCACGCACACGCGCCCGGCGTGAGTTTTAAGCCACCGGGTCCGGGACTTGAACCGTGGTCGACTACGTGGGAGTCCAGCGACATAGCCATTACGCTAACTGCTGGTTCCCATGTCACTTCTTTCTGGATTTTGAGCACTCATGCGAATGCTCCTGGTGTGTTTTCCAAGCCACTGGGTCTGAGGCTCAAACTGCACAGTTGCCCATGAGATCCAGCTGCCTTAACCACCACATCACTGGCTAGCCCAGAACCTGTGTTAAAGCTGAGAGAGTTCTTTGACACTTTTCTCCACAGAAACAGCCATAGGTGATGTATCTTTTTCTGTCATACTCACTCTAGGAGAGTATGTCCGAGTGTTAAATAGGCTGTTGTGGGCTGGTCTGAGAATCTAGTCACCACTTTATAAGGCTGTTTTTATGGGAGAGTATATTCTAAATTTTCAAAAAACAATTTACAAATGAATATTTCTGATTTGAGAACTCCTTGCATGTATTTACATGTCTTTCC